AACAAAAGAAGACTTCCCGGGCAGCATCACCACATGGAAGCCCCTCTCAGCGTTCTGTGACGCGCTCCCCAGCTTGACTGAGGAAACACAAAAGACTGAGGGAGTGGAGGAGAGGAGGGTCTTTTAAGCAAATTAAGTGACGTGTTTCCTGTGTGTGGGGGAGGAGATTTAAAGGAAGCGAGGACGAGACGGAACCGAGGAGAGAGGGGGCACGTGCGGGACAAAGACGGGGACCGGACCGAAAGACCAGAGGGAGGCGAAGGTGGAGAGCGGAGACCACAGGCTGACAATTGTGATTGGAGGAGGATCTATTGTATTGTATTATTACTTTTGTATTTTACTGTATGTTATTGTACTATCACTGCATTGTATTGTATGCTGAAAGGCTGAGGGGACTGCTGTGGCACTAACAGTGTTAATAGTTTGCTAGGCATTTGCGGCAATATCCTGTTGGGACATCTAGGATAAAATTTAACTACTGGGCATTAAGTGTATTACGGTTATACACTGCTGGGCATTTAGCATATTGACTGTTGGGCATAGTGTAATAACTGCTGGGCATAGTGTATTAACTCCAGGGCAGTGTATAGTAACTGTTGGGCGTTAGCGTAAAAAAACAAACAAACAACAACAACAAAAAACTCCAGGGTTCTACTGTAAACTCCTGGACAGAAGTTTTATATCTCCCGGGCGTCGGTGTAATAACTGCAGGGCGTTGGTGTAATAACTGCCGGGCGTCGGTGTACAGCTGGCCCTAAATAAATGAACCTATTAAGAAAAGAATAAAAAAATAAATGTCTTTCATGAGTGGGTATGCAACCCGGAACTGCAGTAATACAAGGGGGGCAGAGGGCTCACTCCAGTCAATATAGTTAATCTAATCGCTCCAGTTAATCAAATTAGTAAGGCATCACCCTTACCAAGGTCCAAAAAAAAGAAGGAGCAGGGCGTCAGAAGGGAGTAAACATGTAGCCCACTCTAGTACAAAAATCAAATGTATGTACACCAATGCTAAAAAGCCTAGCAAACAAATTAGTGGAGCTCGAAGTCATGCTACTCGAGGAGGACTTTGATATAGTGGGAATAGCTGAAACTTGGCTAGACAGCACGCATAACTGGGCTATCAATAAAGAAGGGTACAATCTGTTCAGGAGGGACAGGGTTGGGAGAAGGGGGGGGGGGTATTCATGTATGTTAAAAATAATCTAAATATGCACATACGGGATGATATCACGGCAGAGAGTCGCAATGGCGTGGAGTCCTTGTGGCTAGAGCTAGATAGGACTGATGCTAGTTGTAAACTAATTGTGGGTGTGTGTTATAAACCCCCGAATATAGGGGAAGAGAAGAAGGCTCACCTACACTCCCAAATAGAAATAGCTGCGAAGCATGGTAATGTTGTTGTCTGGATAATTAAAAATCACCCATTACATCGATTGGTCTAATGGAACCTCTCATTAGATAAAGGCGGGCCATTTTCTGAACCTGTTGCGGGACAATTTTATGGATCAGATGGTTGAGGTTCCAACTAGGAAAAATGCAATACTAGATTTAATAATTTCCAATAATGCGGAGTTAGTTGAAGATATTGCAATTAGTGAGACACTGGGTAATAGTGATCACAATGTGATTACTTTTAATATTGTGAATATAGGGGAAGAGAAGAAGGCTCACCTACACTCCCAAATAGAAATAGCTGCGAAGCATGGTAATGTTGTTGTCTGGATAATTAAAAATCACCCATTACATCGATTGGTCTAATGGAACCTCTCATTAGATAAAGGCGGGCCATTTTCTGAACCTGTTGCGGGACAATTTTATGGATCAGATGGTTGAGGTTCCAACTAGGAAAAATGCAATACTAGATTTAATAATTTCCAATAATGCGGAGTTAGTTGAAGATATTGCAATTAGTGAGACACTGGGTAATAGTGATCACAATGTGATTACTTTTAATATTGGGTACAGAAAGGGGAAGTGTGTTGGTCGGACAAGAACACTTTAACTTCAGAAAGGCAAACTTTGATAAGCTGCGCCAGCTAGTATGCGACACCGAATGGGACAACTTATTTAGCACACTGAACACTGACGAGAAGTGGGATTGTTTTAAGTATAAAGAACATAATGCTATCACCAAGTGCATACCATTGGGAAACAAAAATAAAAGATCAAGAACTAAGTCTGCCTAGCTAAATAAAACAGTAAAGCAACACATTAAGGACAAGAGCGTGGCATTTATAAAATATAAGATGGAGGGGACGGAATTGGCGTTCAGGAAGTACAAAGAATGTAATAAAAGATGTAAACAGGAAATTCAGGCAGCAAAAATAGACGTGAAAAGAATATTGCCACAGTCAGTAAAAGGAACCCAAAAAAAATCTACCAATGTATAAAAAGTAAAAAAGGTTAAAAAAAAGAGCAGATAGGCCCAATAAAAGATGAGAACGGGAAATTAGTCAGGGAGAGGGTCGAGGTGTTGAATTCTTTTTTCTCCTCAGTATACACTCAGGAAAGAGACGGGTTTAATGTAGATAAGAATGTGAGCAGCTCATTGCAAAATATACCACAGTGGTTGACGGTAGTCGGGGGTTCAACAAAGACTTGAAAAACTTAATGCAAATAAAGTATTAAGGCCAGATAACCTGCACCCCAAGGTACTTAAAGAACTCAGCCAGGTTATAGCGAGACCAATTTTCCTCATTTTCAAGAACTCCTTAATGACTGGTAGAGTACCAAGTGACTCGCGGAAGGCTACGATAGTACCAATATTCAACAAAAAGGTCAAAATGCCAACCTGGGAACTACAGACCAGTCAGTCTAACATCAATAGTATGCAAACTGTAAGAGGGAATGATAAAGGACTACTTAGTAGAGAGTTTGTTCTTAAAAAAGTTGTATAATAAATGATAATCAGCATGGATTTAGGAAGGACCGTTCCTGCCAGACCAACCTACTAAACATTCTACGAAGAGGTAAGTAGAGATCTGGATGGAGGGAGGCCGGTGGATGTGGTATATCTGGATTTTTCTAAAGCGTTTGACAGAGTACCACATAAACGCTTACTACACAAGCTGAGGTCTATGGGCATAGATAAAATGGTGAGTACATGGATAGAGAATTGGCTACAGGAACATATCCAGAAAGTATCGATAAATGGCTCCTTTTCAGATTGGTCGGGAGTGGCATGCCCCAGGGTTCTATGCCAGGCCCCATATTATTCAACCTGTTTATTAACGACATTGGGGAGGGCATGTATAGCCATCTTTCTGTCTTTGCTGATGACACTAAAATTGGGAGGGTAATCGACAAGGACTTAGACACTATAACATTACAGGAGGACCTGGATAAAATAGGGGAGTGGGCAACTACTTAGCAGATGAGATTTAATGTTGATAAATGTAAAGTAATGCACTTTGGGGTTAAAAATAGGCAAAAGGAATACACATTAAAGGGGTTCTAAACCCTCCGGTTTTTTTGCCTATATCTACTGCTAGCGAGCAGTAGATATAGGCAAGACGTTTAAAAATAAACAAAACCGCTTCAACTAGGTTTAAACTTACTTCGTTATCGCTGCACGCTCCCGCGCCGAGAATCAGGAAATGCTCGTACGGCCGCAAAGCATCTTGGGGCGGGCGCATGCGCAGTTCCAATTCTCGGCCGGGAAACGAGCAGAGACGCAAGGTAAGTCTATGGACGCGTGCACCCACATGCGGACACCGCTGGATCGGAGGGACAGAGCACTCAGCGCTGGATCGGAGAGCAGCCGCACCGCTGGAGGGACAGATGAATACATCAGGAAAGAACAAGAAGATCGGATTAAGAGACATCATTTAAGGTAAGTCCTAACATTAACATGGAGGGGAGGGAAAAAAGATTTAGACTTTAATGTCACTTTAATGGGAACTCCACTAGGGAAGTCAGAAATGGAAAAAGGATCTGGGGGTCACTGTAGACCACAGATTGAATAATAGCTTGCAATGTCAGGCTGCTACAAACAAAGCTAGCAGAGTACTGTCTTGTATTAAAAAGAGAATGTACTGTAGAGACAAATCTATAATTTTGCCACTTTTAGATCGCTGGTTCGACCTCATGTGGAGTATGCAGTCCAGTTTTGGTCATCAATCCACAGAAAGGATGAGCTGGAGAGAGTCCAGAGAAGGGCAACAAAACTAATTAAGGGGATGGAGGACCAAAGCTATGAGACAAGGTTACTAAATTTAAACATATTCATGCTAGAATGAGGCGATTAAGAGGGGACGTGATTTTGATGTACAAGATGTTCAATGGTGATGGCAACATCAGCAATAAACTATTTACAGTAAACTGCATAACAAAGACTAGAGGCCACCACCTAAAATGAGTGGAGAAAAGATTTAACCACAAGGAGTGCAGGGGCTTCGTCTCAGTTAGAGCTATTAAAAGTTGGAACTCGCTGCCACAAGCAGTGGTATCAGTGGAGGAGTATTGAATCATTCAAAAAGCATTTACACACCTTCCTCAGAGATCATAACATACAGGGGTACAGGTACTCTTAAAAACAACACACAGGGACTCGTACACACACACATACACAATCACATGCATACACGCAATAGGTTGAACTTGATGGACCTGTGTCTTTTTTCAACCTCAAATACTATGTAATTTTAAAGCTGGGCAAACTTTTTTTTTTTTTTTTACAAAAGACCTGTACCTTTCTGAGCTGAAGTTGGAGGCTGTTACAATGACATCATCTTTGTTTTGCACCAAGACTGGAATCTTCCTACATCCGGGTGACTTAAGTAGCCTCTGCAACAGTTTCAGAGTTTCTATAAAAGAAAAAAGTTTTAATACTGTATCTGATTTCCTGAAATTGCATTAATATGACAAATTTACTTTCTAGACCTGCCAAAAGTGGCCTGTGGGGCACATGCACCAATAATAAAGAATTAGATATAAGGGTCATTTTGTAAACAGTTCAGTGGACAATTCAACCTACATTTACCCAAAGTTTACCCAATATTCTGTCAGCATCTTTCACCCTATTTATAAAGTAATATTAATGAGCATTCACCCAATGAAAATTACATTCTTGGACATTTGGCAAGATCTGTGTCCCTCACTGGACTCTGAGAAAAGTGTTGTTTTACTAGGGATGCACAGATACCACTTTCAGTGCCAATACTGGTCATTTTCACAATACGAGTACCCCAATTCTAACCGCTGATACCGGCACTTTACATTTTTAAACTGATTCAGCTGCCGCAAGGTCCCGCGCTTGCTGGGGACCTCGCAGCGTCTGTTTATAGCCCCGGTCTGGCCGCAAATCTCCTCCTTCCCGCCACCCGCACAAAGCCCTGGTGAGACCCTGCACGAAGCCCTGGTGAGCAACACAGAGTATATAGCTTCATATTATTCTGCATTGCTGTATAATGTATAGCTGGGATTTGTAGTTCATCTACAGCTTGGAGTCAGTGCAGAACTACCAGGTTTGCAGCAGCTGCACCCGGGCCCTGGCGATCCACCACTGTCCTATAATCATTAGTCACAAGACACACGCACACAAAAAAAAGAAAATTGGTAATTGGTTTCAGCAAGTACTTGAGGAAAAGTATCGGTACTCATACTCAGTCTTGAAAAAATGGCATCGGTGTATCCCTAGTTTTTAGGATACAAAAACTCTATTCTAATACCCTCGGTTCTGCCCCAGTGAACACACCCTGGGTACCCAAAATGTACAGCCTGCCACGTATTGCAGAGCTCAAGATGCCGGTATATTCATTTCTACCTATCACCTTAACGTGATGAGCACTAACTAGCGTATGGCATGTCATCCAGGGGTACAGGGAATCGCCACACTGAGTGTTTGCATTGACCGAGGTTGATATGTGTTTCCTCCCCTATGTATGCTGTCTTCACCCTATTGTTGTACTACGTTTGCCTATGTTATTGCATGCATAATGGACGAAAATGATAAAGAATTTATAAAAAAAAAAAATTATATTCTTTATCATCCATTGAGGAACACAGCTTGAGAATAGGCAACCTAGGGATATCAGAAATCAGCCCAAACCAAGGGGCGGGCACAGAAAAGCAAACACATGCCAACCAGCCCAACAAAAAAAACAAAAGGCATTGAAAAATGTTTTGACCAAAGCTAGCATCTGCGGAGGCAGACACATCAACCTTGCAGAACAAAAAAAAATACTTTGTTTTAATTCTACATTACATAGGAGACATTTGTACACTCATACATACATAATAAAAACAACATCACAAAAACAAACAATAATAAATAGAAACAAAAAAAACCCAGCAATATACAATTTCTCATTGTAACAATTTACATAAATTACATTTCTTCTCACAATGCCAATAGCACATGGAACAGACATAGACAAACTCCCTTACTATATTCAATCCACTTATCCCACATTTTACCATATTTATCCATGCTACCTCTATGTTTAAACATGATTCCCTCAAATCCAACCACTCTAATTCTTTCTTCCACTCCTCCACAGGGGGAGGCACTGCTGAGATCCACCTAAAGGCTATGCTACGCCGAGCAACAAACAATGCCCTCGTTATAGCCACCTTCATATAGTACTCCACATTTAAGTATCCGAAAATACCCAAAATACATATCATTGGATTATTAGAAATATGAACTCCAAAAGCTATATTTATTATGCCACTATTTCCTGCCAGTATCGTTTCAGCTTCGGACATCTCCACAGCAGATGTATCAACGAACCTGGTTCAAACTCACATTTTGGGCATTTAGAGTTTTCCCTGAGTCCTATCCTATATAGGAATTCAGGGGTCCGGTGTGTTCTATGTACAATGTAGAGCTGTGTTAATTTATGTGATGCAGAAGGTGAGACTAATTGGATTGAGAGCAGTGCCTTCCTCCATAAGCTATCTTCTAATGGGCCCACATCCAGTTCCCAGCCCACTTTACATTTCATAGGTGATTTATTCAGAGCCCCAGGGAGTAAATTTAAATATTTTTTTTAAATCAACCCTCTTGTCGTAGTGGCATTAAAAAGTTTATCTAACACCATATTTATACGAATACAAACCTCTTGCCTGGATGTACCGTACACGCATGTGTTAATTGTAAATATTTATAAAATTGGGTAATAACTTGCTTGTAATTGTTGGAAAGAGTATAACACACCTTGATTATATATTTGCGCCAATGTCTCAATCCCCATTTTCTTCCACATTCCAAATCCTTGGAGTTTATTTACCTCATATAATACCCAATTATCCCATATTGGAGTGTATTTTGTTAATTCAGAATACCCAATAACCGTTTAGTTGATTTCCACATTTTACCAATCTTATAGTGGGTAGAGTTGAAAACTCCTTCAAATATAAAGTTGTCTCAAGGGTCATAAGGGGTCTTTATTTTGAAACAGACATTTAATGATATCATATGCCCCTATCCTCTACCCTGGTTGATTCCAACCCACCAAATGTCTTAACTGTGGCCAAAAACATTATCCATGGATTTGGGAGTGCCAGACCCCCCAGACCCTTTAGGATATTGCAAGGTTTCTAATTTTATCCGTGCTGGTTTCTTCTTCCATATCAACTCCCTAAATACTAGGGATGCACCAATATACCGTCCGCCAAAACATATTGAGCGAAAATGGCACTTTTGGCACAATGCCAAAAGTGCTATTTTCCGGCCGATACAGCGGTGCATCCGTTCTTTCTCTCCTCCCCACTGGGCGCTGCTCTGTGTCCCAGCGGGGAGAGGAGAAACTGTCACAGGCAGCCGAGCGCTGCGGGAGGAGAGTGCGGTGAGCGGCCGGCGTCTTTCCTCCCCGCACCGCTCAGCCTCCTGTCACAGATCAGAGGAGAGCAGAGACAGCCAGCACTGTCACAGCAGGCTGAGCCCTGCTCGCTCAGCCTCCTGTGACAGCGTGTCAGGATGGAGAGCCGTATAAACAAACTCTCAAGTGATCGCTAAGTGTTTGTAAATAATTGAGGACATAGCATTTTTACTATAGCTTCAATTATGAATGAATGCGAAGTGATCTACCTCACCTCCCGCGCATTCATGATTGTGGTTATAGTAAACATACTCTGTTCTCATGTTATGAATGCACAGGAAAACTCGGAGGATTCCTGTTCATTTATAACAGGGGCTGCAGAAAAAGAGATTGAGGACTCTGTGTACTCAATCTCTTTTTCAATTTTAAAAGGGAAACATTGGGGGTCTGTTTTAGACCCCTAATATTTCCCCAAAGTCCCTAAAAAGTTTAAAAAAAACAAATATTTAATCAAAATGAATAAACATATTAAAAAGTTTATAAAAAAATAAAAATAAAATATTTAAAAAAAAAAAAAAAAAGGTAAAATAAAAAGCTAGGGATGTTCAGATATCAAGTACTGTACTCGGTACAAGTACATACACTTTTCCAGCTCCAAGACTAGACTAGAGAAAAATTCAAAAGTTAGGAGTCAGCTGTCATTTTTAAGGAGCATATGGAGCTCCTGGAATTTGTGCATCCCAGTTTTAATGTATGATTTTATTTTTATAAATATAGAAAAAGGTATGCACTGATACAATTTTTTTAAGTACAAGTACTGATATTTGTCCAAGTACACAGATACAAGTACTGATACATTTTTGTTTATTGTCATGTGACAGTTTTTCTAAAACAATATAGACGAATGATTTCAGGACAGTGGTGGAGCGCCAGAGCTAGGTCCCAGCTACAACCGCTGCAACCCTGGTAGTTCTTGTGAAAATGCCAGGTATCGGCACTGGTATCTGAAATGGTATCTGAACATCCCTACAAAAAACCTTTCGGATTCGGTCTGACATTTTTTTTAAATTTCGGTGCACCTCTACTAAATACTGTATTTGTCCTCCTAATATAGTTTAAGAAATATAACATGGAGAATTATACAGTATATAGGAGAGTTGAGGCATCCAAATCATTTTAACCACCTCCCGTCCATGGGCGTTCCTGAACTGCCGGACAGGAGTCTTGTAGGAGTGGGAGGGCTCCTCCTCCCACTCGTGCGCAGCGCTCAGCCATCGCTGTCTGTTTACATTGCCAACAGTTCCCCACTCGTGAGACGCCCGCCCGATCGCTTGCAGTAGCTGCGGGTGTGCGTCACCCCACCCGTCGCCGCTGGTCCCGAGATCCGCTGTGCCCGGTGTAGCTGGGACCGGCACGGCGACGCTGTCAGTGGGATCAGTATACGAACTCCCTTTGATCTCTTCTTGGTCCCCGAATGCAGGAAGTGATGTGCAGGTGAAACTCGATTAGAATATCGTGCAAAAGTTCATTTATTTCACTAATGCCACTTAAAAAGGTGAAACTAATATATGAGATAGACTCATTACATGCAAAGCAAGATAGTTCAAGCCGTGATTTGTCATAATTGTGATGATTATGGCTTACAGCTCATGAAAAGTCCAAATCCACAATCTCAGAAAATTAGAATATTGTGAAAAGGTGCAATATTCTAGGCTCAAAGTGTCCCACTCTAATCAGCTACTTAAGCCATAACACCTGCAAAGGGTTCCTGAGCCTTTAAATGGTCTCTCAGTCTGGTTCAGTAGGAATCACAATCATGGGAAAGACTGCTGACCTGACAGTTGTGCAGAAAACCATCATTGACACCCTCCATAAGGAGGGAAAGCCCCAAAAGGTAATTGCAAAAGAAGTTGGATGTTCCCAAAGTGCTGTATCAAAGCACATTAATAGAAAGTTATGTGGAAGGGAAAAGTGTGGAAGAAAAAGGTGCACAAGCAGCAGGGATGACCGCAGCCTGGAGAGGATTGTCAGGAAAAGGCCAT